TCACGCGGTTTTCTCTTTGGTCATCTCCGAGCAAGCGAGGAACAAATTTTGCAGACACCCGTCTCATGTGCAAACCTTCGGTTAAAATTCGCTGGACCGTGCTCCATGAGATGTTCGTTTCCTCAGAAAGTTGGTCAATGGTCTTTCGACGATCTTCATCAATTTCACGCACACTCTTTGTTCCTTCTGGTCGGCCATCTCACTAATCGCCAAAGGGTTGAAACAGGAACGCACACAACAGAGCACCACAGACAAACCACTTAACTCAGACTGACGCCAGCTCACTAACAGTCGCGGGAGACCCCCAGCTAACACCACCTAGCAGCACAACTCGTAACTACAAAGCATGCGCGCGCAACAGGTCGTTTCCGGTTATTTTTGGGTCCCCCCTCGTACATAGCCATTGCATTAAAGTTTATAAAGTTTTTTAGTAAAATTCTGTACTTTTGGCCTTATTCTCAGGAAGTATGCCTCTCTCACCTCTGACGTACATTTCAGTTCCCAGTATGTGATAACAAAGGTATGGAGATTCACCATATGCAGTCCTGACTGGTGTCTAGTGTTTAGGAATTAAACATGATCGTAGAAGCTAATTGACAAAACTACCTCCTACCTAAACACACACTCACAGGTTTGATTATTGTGACATTTCACTGTGAACTGCTACAGCTCTGGGTGCCTTGGTAACAGACTCTTCTTATTGCCATGTGGGCTGAATTTGTACTTCCTTCGCTAGTTCAAGCCTACTGTGGAGTGAACTGTGCAAGAAAAGCTGTTTCTTCTTCTGAACATTGACTGCCGAGTCGTTATCTTGTACAGACTATACAGTCATAACTAGGACGATTATACCACCAGAAACACTGTTGCAACTTCAGTGGAACATACTGTGAAGGTCTTTATAATTATGGTGTACATGTAATTTTCAGTACCAGCCCATAGTACAATTTCTAACCACTAAAATCTTGCATTGAGGCACATCTTAGCCAATGTTTTGAACCTCGATGCTTCTAGAAGTAACATTGTAAATGGTCCAGCACGCATGTCCACCCTGCAGTTTTTTCACTTGTACCATGTTTCACAACTTTGACCTTTTGTAACATATAACACAGTGCTGACAAGGATTTTGCTCTGACACTATGGCAGCAATATCAAAAGGGTAATGAGGAGTATTCATCCTTGTTGGTGGGGCAGTTCCTGGTGGTCTGCCTAATGGGCTGTCTTCTGTTATATGATATTTTGAGATTAAATTTTGTATGGGTTTCACCTGAAATTCCATAATGGAAATGCTACTACCCATTTTTTTTCTAAAGTAAACATGAATTCAAACAACATATCATTCAAATGACGGATGTGCTTTTGATAGTATTTTTTTAGTTTTTTACTTGTGCTGCAAAAGCATGTGAAGTAAGCATCACTGAGGCCCTCACCTCCCATCTCAGAATTTTAATTGGTGAATACTTTGGGCTTCTCCATATCTTGTCCTTATTTTATCAGGAGTGGTGCTGATAAGACATATCTTTTTTGTTTTGCCACTTCATTAGCATTATTTTGTCTTTGTAGACCTCCCTTTTTCTGTTCTGCGCTCTTTGTGTCAGGAACTCCCTGTTTTGACGCAAGGTCTCCATAGCATCAGTCTGTTTGCAGCACAGCTTGTTGAACACACCTGTGCTTGAAAGTCAACTGTCCAGGCTTACATGGTATCCCTGATTCAGTAGAGGAGCCGTTAGTTGTAGAACTACTTTTAAGCCATATGGCTCATTTTTAGGGACTCGTTGAAGACAGTATCATTCACAATCTAAGTAATAAAATTCCATACATAATCGGATTTGGCTTTACACAATTTGAATAATTTTATACCAAATCTAGCACATTTTGAAGGAATGTATACTGTCCACAACAAATGTCCCTTCCACATCATCAAAGACTCATCTACTGACACATCCCACTCTGGGGTATCTGCTCTCCTAAATTTGGCATTTAGGTGATCCAATATGGGTTTGAGTTTATACAATATTTTGGAACTGCATGTGGTCTGATCACAATTTTCATTGTCAACAAAATGAAGGAACTTGAGTAGAAGGTGAAACCTCTCACTGAACAGGTCCAAAAATATGAGTGTTTCCAGAATTATCCTTTGGGGAAAATAGCTCTTGTTATCCTGTTTCTGGTGAAGTCCTTGTAATAAACAGAATGCCAGCAACTTCATTATTTCGTTTCTGTTCATGTCCTTCCAGTGACGAATCCTAGATCATAGTTTTAGATTAGCCCATGTTTTCTAAAGCTTTTTGAACATATGGATTTGTTTCTCTGGCTGTTACTTCTGCAATTTCTGGTGTACAAAACAATTAAAAATATTCCAGAAGGTTACTTGGGTTTACTAAATCAACATTCATGCCAGGCTTGCCAGTAAATGGAAAACGTGGTCGCTTAGCACGTGACTTTGCCCATATGCCATGCTGTATGGTACTGCTGTCACTGACATTTTTTCTTCATGAGAGCTGATTCTCTGTTCACCACATGATGAAATTCACACATTTATTTCTCTGTTACTACTATATATACTCTCAGAAATATCGGTATATTAATCCTCTTGCAGCAGTTTATGTAACATGTCTCGTCACTCACATGTATCTTCTTACTAGGACCTACCATAATATTTACTCTCAAAAACTTGAACCAGGACAGCTCTCTAGCTATCAACACCTTCCTCTCACACTCTGAAGTCACTAGAAGATCTAACAAACACAATGTACAAATTTGCATTATCATTTCATACCAATGGCAGAAACGGGGCTATCCATATCCAACTTCTCTGCTAAGTGGTTGCAATAAAATGCAATTCTGAACAACAGACTTTATGTGCATAGAGACAGCAGATTGACAAAGAAGAATATTATTAGATATGTTTTTAAAAAATGGTTTCACATGTCAGTTTTCACATAAGTTCTCATTTCAATTCTTTTTGTACAGTTACTGTTTCAAGAACTTAATCTTCTGTCTCTTTCATTCTCTCAGGAAGTTGGATTACAGGAATTGGAGACAGGGTATCGACTGTACCACAGTATACGGCAAGTCTTGTGTGTGATGACATTGCTTGGTTATCATCTTATTGTCATGTATGTTCTTAGCCATACTGAGGGTGACTTGCAAATCTGTGAAGAAATACTGAGGAGTCAGCTTCAGGTTTGCAGTTCAGTTTGTTTTCTTGTAATAAGAACTACTAGTGATATTCGTCCATGATATGTATGCAGTGTCCGTCTTTTAGTGCACTCAATTTCACTTGTTATTTCACAACATGTTTTGGCACTATAGTGCCATCATCAGGTGCTCCATTTACGTTAATCTAGAACATTAGAACATTACAACACCCGCAACAAAAAAGGGAACACACGAAACGAGACACGATATACACTGAAAGTAAGAGGAACGACTCCCATAGTGGTGGACCTATGCGCGGTGTTAGAATCGGAACAGATAAGATAAATAATCTTAACAAGTTTTTAGTATATAAATATTTATTATAATTGACGAACATTTTTAAATACTTTTTAAATTTTACAATGGCATAATGGCAAGCAATGAAATAGATTAACTTAAATGGAGCACCTGATGAAGGCACTATAGTGCCGAAACATGTTGTGAAATAACAAGTGAAATTGAGTGCACTACAAGACGGCCACTGTATACATATCATGGACGAAAATCAGTGCAACAGGACGCTAAAATACAACATTACTAGTGATATTACCGCAGTAGCTGTTAATTAAAAAAATAACTAAGTATTCTTTCTTAAATTTATATCTTAGTGTCTGTCCAGCATCTGGTACAAATACATGAACATATATTTTAATTGAGTGTATATAAACTGATTTCTGCTGACTCATATTCATGCTTATAGAGAACAAAACAAGCAAAAAACAAACCCCATGGCGTGTAGTCCGCAAGTGAACTATACTGACTGAGCAACTGCCGCTTGTTGGCGACATTAGTGCCAACTTTTGTGAATAGAAGGTGTTGTGTGATCAGCGCTGCGGTCCCAATGGCCGTTAATCTCAATTTTCTAGACCACAGCCACTATTTCCTTGAAATAGCTGCTCAGTTATCCTCACGAGGCTGAGTACACCCCATTCTTATAGAAAACAGATTACCACGAAAAATACAGTAATAATCTAATTGCTAGTGTAGCAGTCCATTGTTATTACTTACAGACAAGTACACTATTAACATTTTTTCTGAAAATTTATATGGAGTTCACATGGATTTTGAATCAATAAGTAACAGAATTTAGTCTTACTCATTCTATATCCAGTACTGTATTTTCTGTCTTCATGAAATGACCTAAAGCATGTAACTTCAAAAGAACTGAATTTGTTGAAATCGCCAGAAACTTTCCGTTACTTGATATGCTGCATAATTTAGACCGTGTAAATTCAGAGCAATGAGGTCTATCGAATGAAAGAAGAGTTTGTTTATCCATTTCTTATTTCACTTTTCTCCATTCTGCCACTCAAATCAATGTGTATGGTTACTATATTCTTTGATGACTAGAGGCTTGACAGCACTCCCATCTTTGATTTTCCCTCTGGACATGGAATTTGCATATGTCGAAGGACATATACTTGTTACTGGTGCTTCTGGCTTGTAGCCTGTAGGATTCCTTATACACTGCCTCCAGTGTCTGCTCTTTTCAGTCAGATGTTAAGACTGAAGTTAGGTGGCATCTTCTTGTGGTCAACTGTACTGCAGGCACTCATGTTTGTCCAGTGCAGATCATTGAAGGTTTTGATGAGATGAGGAAGTCTATTAATATTTTGTGCCCAATTTGTTTGACTTTCTGAAAGATCTCCTATATAGTTCCTTGTGTGGGTGCAACGTGTTTGCTAACCATGTTTCTCTCTTTTTCGAGCATACTTAAATGTCATGTATACCTACATCCATCGTAAAGTTTTTAAAATTTATGCCTGATCTCTTCTGTTTTCTTAGGAAGATGGCTTTGTTTTTGAATTTTACAGTTAACTTCATCCACTGTCGTATATTCTGTCGGATGGTATAGGTCTAAACAATTTTTAATTTAGGGTATCATGTATTTGTCAGATTTTCCATCATCTATCATAATTGGGATCTTCTGTGTCTTGTATTCTGATTGTCCATGAAATGAAAATATTCTGAAGTTTGTCTTTGGTCCCATATAATTTCATATTAAGCATGTGGTCATGATCCATGTGGACTATATAGGAAATGCATATTGATCTTTCACGTTTATTTACTGGGAAAGAGAAATGTCTGGTTTCTTGCTTGGGCATTTTGCTGAATACAGTGGTTGGCATCTTCTGTTAGTGCATTTTGTTCTACCATAGATTAGTGAACATCTGCCTTATCCGAAGGAATCTTCTTCATTTTCTTCAGAAGGTTTTAGATTTTTCAAGTGGCATGTTGTCCGTCTCTTCTTCAGAATCCATAGCTGCACATTGTCACCATCATTCTGTGTGGATGCTAAAACAACTAATAAATAAACATATTTGAAGGTCCCACATTGCATTTAACAGCTATATTGAATGTATGAATGAGGAAACAAAGAAACATGAAGTGCCAAAGAATCCAGCATGTAATCTCATATTCATCAGCGATACATACCGCCTTTTCACATTTTCCATTGTGTTTGTAAGGCTGCGACCACCTCTCTGGTCTAGCGGTCGGAGTTGCTGGCTACAGATCCAGATATCCCGGGTTCTATTCCCAGCACTACCAGATTTTTTGAGAAGTAGCGTGTGTGTGGAACGGGTTCCACTCAACCTCATGAGGATAATTGAGGAACTGTTTCAAGAAAATAGTGGCTCCGGTCTAGAAAACCGAGATTAATGGCTGTGGGGATTCGTTGCACTGACCACATGACACCCTATGTCTGCTAAAGTCGGCACTAACTTGGCCGACAAGTGGCGGTTGTTTGGTCTGTATAGTTCACTTGCTGACTATGGGCCACAGAGTTTTTTTGTTTTTGTAAGACTGCTTCATATGGATGTGAACAAAGAGTATTATAGATGATTATTAATGGTCAGCTGTTTGACCCTGTGACCTAAAAAATACTGCTGAAAACTTCCATAATAGAATATTTTGCTTTTTTTTGGTTAAGCACTTATTAATGATGAGAAAATGGCTCAGTAATAGAAAGAAATGGGATGCTTAGTCACTTGACAAGTTACTTAGGTGTTGATGTATTGGACATTTGTCCATAAGAAGTTAAATTCAATAAAGTTAATGGCTTCCGTGCTATATTTTCAGCTATATCCTCAAGGAGTGTGGTTCCTCTTTTTTAAAGGACGCTTAGAGTTTATGAAGGCCAACATTGATGAAGCAATAAATTGGTACATGAAATCATGGAAATCTCAGGAAATATGGCCACAGTATCATCATCTTTGTTTTTGGGAGCTCATGTGGACAAACAGGTATGGGAATATTATTGGGATGAAATCCAACTAAGAGAAGCAAGAAGTTCAGAACTCTTCTTGAAATTGTAAACAAGCATTAAAAGTACTTGCCATCAGTGTATTGCATTTTATGGGTCTGCAAGATTAACCTATGATATGTACATTATTTTAGAACAGTTTCATAATAAAAAAGCCTGAGAAGTGTAAGAAGAGAAATATATGAAGGGGGACCCAAAAATAACCGGAAACGACCTGTTGCACGCGCATGCTTTGTAGTTATGAGTTGTGCTGCTAGGTGGTGTTAGCTGGGGGTCTCCCGCGACTGTTAGTGAGCTGGCGTCAGTCTGAGTTAAGTGGTTTGTCTGTGGTGCTCTGTTGTGTGCGTTCCTGTTTCAACCCTTTGGCGATTAGTGAGATGGCCGACCAGAAGGAACAAAGAGTGTGCATGAAATTTTGCTTTCTGTTAGGGAAAACTGCACTTCACTCTTCAAGTCGCGGCAAACATTCACGCGGTTTTCTCTTTGGTCATCTCCGAGCAAGCGAGGAACAAATTTTGCAGACACCCGTCTCATGTGCAAACCTTCGGTTAAAATTCGCTGGACCGTGCTCCATGAGATGTTCATTTCCTCAGAAAGTTGGTCAATGGTCTTTCGATGATCTTCAAAAATTTCACGCACACTCTTTGTTCCTTCTGGTCGGCCATCTCACTAATCGCCAAAGGGTTGAAACAGAAACGCACACAACAGAGCACCACAGACAAACCACTTAACTCAGACTGACGCCAGCTCACTAACAGTCGTGGGAGACCCCCAGCTAACACCACCTAGCAGCACAACTCGTAACTACAAAGCATGCGCGCGCAACAGGTCATTTCCAGTTATTTTTGGGTCCCCCCTCGTATAGAGTGTCCGGATGAAAGGTATCCAAAATTCAGTTATTCAGTATTGAGGGAGTGGGTTTCCCCATGCACCGCGACTGGTAGTCTATTGTACGTCCCCCATTTAATTTCTACTGTCTCCATCCCCTACCGGTACTGGTGCTCGCTATCAGCCCCTTTCTGCCAGCGAGGTTTCTACCCTCTACTTGGCAGTGGTATCTAATAGTTAGTCCCTTTCTGTCAGCGAGGTCGTTCCTCCTCTGGCAGTGGTACCTAATACATCCCCATCTACCGGAGGCATTGGAAACTACTTGGGCGGGAAACTTTTGGCCTAATTTAGCTCAGAGGTCTCCTAGAGACATGAGGTTCTTTTACATGCTGTAAATCTACGACACGGGACCCATGACTTAAAGTCCCTAAGGTATCCAAAATAAAAGGATGTATATCTCAGAAACTAATTGTTATATGTGTATCTGGTTTATGTCATTGGAAAGGAAAACTCTGAAAGTTTTTTTTCCATGCCTGGCTTAGACGAATATGCTGCCACATTTTTGCCACCATGTTAGGAATCACCTGGACAGAGAGATGGCTGGGAGATAGATCCGCAGAGGTGGACCAATTGCTTGGCGTCCTAGGTCGCCGGNATTTTAACTATTTGTAATTATTTTAATTAACTGGAACGTGGCTATCTTGGACAAAGTGAAGTTTTGTGTGTTGGTGATTTCTTTTTCTACTATAAATGCCTCTGATGATGGCTCCGTGGTGAGCCGAAACATGTAAGGCAGGTGCTGACGAGGTGGAAAACTTAAAAAAGTGTCACATTTGACGGAAGGAACTTGATTGTTAATTGGTTAGTGTGACGGACCAGAATGAAAGACCTTAAAAAAACTTTGATAGTTTCCTGTTGTAATGGTGTACCCATTAATGTGTATAATAAATTATTTCTGAGATATAATGATTTTATTTTGGATACCTTTCATCCGGACATTCTGTATATCATTAATAAAAAATAGTATCCTGTGACAGTAACTCAGGCATTCTTTCTCTCTGTATGTAAATTATAATATGGCATATTAGGTACCTACCACTCAGTGCTGTATCCCTGGGTGAGCCTTGGTCTCCTCTACAGCCAGTCTCCACAACCAATGCATGTTGCCATAGGAATGGACCCATGCATGATGACATGAGGCTGGTTGTTAGGTTTCTCAACAAAATTCTTTTTACTGGATGACATTGTTAGCCTCATGGCGAACCCCCAACCTGGAGGACCATGGTATCTCTTAGTCTGGACTCTACCCATTGTCCTTTCCGGCATGGGAGACCTTACTTGTAGTTAAACTGCCACCAGCATAGCACTCCAGGTCACAGAGTCACGCAAGACCCGCCACCATGACAAGGTGGAGACACCTTTGGGAGGAATGACATATAAGTAACAAGGACTATAAATGAGCGCTTGGCTTTATTTATGTATTTGGAGTCCTGATATCTTCAGTGATGTATTTCACATTTATTTTCTCAACACAACAGTGTCAGAACAAACTTTTAAAGTGTAAGCATTCTTTGATATATCATGGAGTGCAACTTAAGACAGGACTTGAATTTGTGCTAGTGTTCCCACTTCAGAAGTTTATATTGTAGCTGTATAGGTACTGTTAATAGGAAGTTAAAATAGTATCTTGATGAATTTGATTTGTTTCATTCTGGTCTGTCACACTAACAATATTAAAAAATCTTCACCAGTCACACTGGATGGAACTGTTTAACTATTTATAGTATCATGATGGGTTGTCTTCCATTGACATGCTGTTGGTACCAAGTTACACAAATACTGAGCAATTAATTTGCCCAATATTAATGTCTGACTCAAAAAGGGGGAGCAATTACACATAAATAGCTTGTGGGTAGGATTCTGAAATATGAACCATAGGGGTTCTGTTTGAACCCCCCAGGAATAAATGTGATTAATACTGTTACCTGACTTTATGTAATCTCTTTGGTTTTGCAGTGTGAAGCAAGATTGGCGAGAGGCAAGCACATATGCTGATCGGCTTTTGAATGAGAGTCGTTGGTCCCGGACCATCTACAGTTATCAGAAAGCGGCTTTGCTTTGTATGCTTGGAGGTGATCTCACATTAGATGAGAAGGCTGAAATTGAAAGCCTCATGAGGTGGAGCTACATTTCCCTCTCTGCATGCCTAATAACTGACAAGTCTAAATATCAGTGTAACAGAAATGTCAGTGAATGACAGAAATGGCCAAGCATCAGAAAACTGGCTTAAAAGGATCCTGTCACATGCTTTACTTTTGTTACTTCTGTAATTAGACAATGTTATATATATTTTTACTTATGTAATACAGATTAAAAACAGGCAAAGTAATGAACTAACATTTTTAAATGTTAAACTTTGTGTTTAGGTTGAGTTTAAAGTTAGAGAGAAGTATCCCTTATTATCTGAAAACCTGTAAAGACTCATTTTAATTGACTGTGTTCTCATGTGTTCTAATATAGGTTGTGTTCTGATTTATTGATGACATATAATTATGGTCCATAAGGGGCAGTTTGGATTATAGTTTCATGAGAGCCCAGATTTTACTCATGAAAAAAAATTGCAATGTGGTCACAGATTTTTAGAATATGTAATACAGAAACTTTGAAAAAAATTCAGACATTGTATGAAGTTTGTTGCCATTATTGATAAGCACAACTGAAGAACAAAATTCATCAAAGAGTTCATAACAAAAATGTTTCAGACAAAATTTATAGACTTAATAGCAAATATTTATTCTGCCTATGTTTTCTTTGTTTGATGAATCATTTTCAAGGAATTTGCCATCAGCGTAAAATTCACTTTCAGAAGCCCTCTAAATGGCAGTAATATCCAGTTTGTTTTGTAGTAAGAATACAATTTCATGTACCCTTTTTTTTTTTCTTGTAGTGGGGTGGGGTGAGACTGATTTCATTTGCTATGTTGGCCACTGATTGACTTATTGAACCAGCACCGGAAGGTAGATGATGAATGTGGACCAGTTGGTGGAATGAGAATTGGCAGGGGAAACCGAAGTACTCAGAGAAAACCTACCCCAATGCCACTGTGTCCACATGACCCACATGATCTAACCTTGGCTTGAACTCAGGCCACCGCAATGGGAAGCTGGCAACTGACCACCTGAGCTGTGGCATAGCCTATTTCATGTACTTAATAGGTAAGAAAAAGTGAAATACAGGGGAACCCCACTTGCAGGTTTCCCCTCATTGTTTCATTGTTCAATTTTAGTGACCCCAAGTCAGTAATCTCGGCGTTAGATTTCCTCACGTTAGTGGTCAAATCCACTGCTCCCCTCCAAGAAGCTCTCTGGTTTTAGTCTGCAAGTGAACTATACCAACCAAGTGACTGCCACTTGTCGGCGAAGTTAGTGCCAACTTTAGCGGATAGAGGGTGTTGCGTGGTCAGCACAAGAAATCCCCGCGGCCGTTAATTTCAGGTTTCTAGACCGGAGCTGCTAGTTCCTTGAAATAGCTCCTCGATTATCCTCACAAGGCTGAGTGGACCCCGTTCCAGATCCACTACTCAGAAAATCTGGTAGTGCCGGGAATCAAACCCAGACCTCTGGATCTTTAGCCAGGAACTCTGACCACTAGACCACAGACCAAAGAATACATAAATGGGATTTTCATTGTACATAGTTCATAACTCATTTAAACCAGAATTTGAGTTATAAAATTTGAGTTTCTACACATTTATGTTACCCAAAATGTTTAAATGGTATATTAATGACTTGCACAGAAAAGCAGGGCAGCTTGTAAATTCCTAGTGCCTATAAGGTACATGAAGGGAAACAGGAAATAGAAACAGATGGACCCAAACTTCTGCTAAATGCTCTCAGGCTTGTCATCAGTAGAGATGATAGAATACCAAACTACTGAGGCATGTTCCAACTTGGACCTGACTAATGTAATATAATTAAATTAAATTCATGTTGATATATGTGAAAACTTAACAGATAGAGGCCGATTATAAAGTTAGCACGAGTAAATAGAAATACACAAAAATTATTAAAGAACAGAATACAAAATATGACAGTCTATAGAAGGGCAATAGATTAATAATAATTCCAAGAAAAATTAAACTTAGCATTATCAGGCAAGAAAAATAAAATAAGCATATTTCCAATGGTTTTACCATTATGTGTCGAGTAAGGATAGTACACGTACATACACATTAACAACAATAACTCAGTTAATTTTTACTTAATAATAATAATAATGATAATAATAATTCAATTCTTTATTATTTATGTGTTCAGTCAACAGGCGCAAGGCCAATTACAGACAGAGTAGATACAAGTAATTTACATTATGGACAAACACAACATAAAGTCAAAGACAAATTACAGGCAAGCAGTGGAGGAAAAACACATTAATGCAGACAAGTAAACAAACAAATAATAATAACAACAATAATATAATTCAGTTCCTTCATTTAAGTGTTTGCCAGCAGTGAGTGGCCTATAACAGGTAAGCACTGGAAGTAAAGATAAAGAAAGCTGGACTGAAACTAAAACTAAAACCAGAACTGAAACTAGGACAAGGTAAAATTTGGTGCTAGGCAATAACCTAATACAGGTAACATCTTAATGATGTAACTCCATAGGATTAAGAAAAGGAAACTGTATCCTCAGGGGAGATTTTGTGTTTATTGAAAACATCCAGAGATT